GGGCGCGGATCGAGCTTGCCGAACCCTCTATCTGGCAGGAAGGCGAGCAAGAGGAGGAAGACGAGCAAGACGAGGAACCTTGTGCCGGGTATTCCTGCTGGGGTCCCCCTCGTGCCAAGGATTTCTGCTGGGCCCCCCTGGCGACTCCTCCTGATCTCTTCCCCTCCCTGCTCCTCTACCCCTCCGCGCTCTTCTGTCACCCCCTCCGCACCGTCTTCTTCCTCGTGGACACCCCAGCTTTCAAACGCGCCAGATTCCCAAGATGTTTTCGGCCGCGGCAGTGCTGCGGCCCAACGAGGGCCAACGCTGTTGTTTCAGATCGCAAAGGGGGCAACGCGTGCTTCATCTGATCAGAGGGGCGACTACTAGGCACCGCGCCCTGGGGCGCCACGTGCATCGCCCATCTCGGCAAACAAAAATGATAGACAGACAGACTTGAAAGATGATACTCAGGTGGGCTCCTCAAGAGGCCACCCCATCCTGTCTGGCGATAACATCGCGCGGCAACGCAGCCGCGCAGACAGCAAAAAAAAAGAAGAACACCTGTCGATGTTGCGTCGGAGAAGAGCAGGGACGAGCCCGGCGGCGGGGTCGAGACGGGGGAGGTCGGAGGAGGGAAGGTGGCCATTATGGGGGAGCTCGGAGGAATGATATGGCAGGAGAGAGTGCACGAGGAGGACAGAGCGTTTCACGAGCTATGGCTTTGGGAAAATCTGCAAATGCGCCTTCTTACCCTCAGCCCCAGCGGGCAGGGCGTCGCCTGCTGCAAACCATCGCAAAACTTTCTCGTAGCTTGGGGAGTGTTTAACGCCTTTGCAAACCTTGCACTTGTGGCGGCTGCAATAAACTGTCAAAGCTTCCTTTGGGAGCCCCTCGTGCATGGGCGCGATGGCCCCCATGTACCGACCAGTGGTGGCGTCGGTGACTCGCTTAGTATATCGGTTCCACTCTGGAAGTGGCGGGTCGGGCGCCGAATCATCCCAGTCATCAGGCGGTGGGATAACTCCTATGGCCTCCTGGCCGTGCGCCGAAGAAGAGGAGGAGGAGGAGGAAGAAGAAGAAGAAGAAGAGGAAGAAGAAGAAGAGGAAGAAGAAGAAGAGGAGTCTGACGAGATGGTTGCATCAGTCGGTGGCCCGCTTGACAAGGGGCCCTCGGGGTCCGAAGGTGCCGAACCTGCCTTGTCGCCACACTTGGTCTTCTTAGCGGGCTTCTTGCCTGTGCTCACGGCCTTTGGTTTCCGAGTCCTCTTGCTCGTCACCTGAACGCCGTCGAGATTCCTGAGCAGAGATGCCGCGGGATCCATGGCCCTCCTAGTCCTGTGAGCTCGGAGCCCCTCTTTCGGAATTGGTAACAAACCGCGAACACGGAACTGCCACAAGGATTCATATTCGAAAGATACCCGGAAGAAAAACACGTCCTCGAACCCCCGCTGCTTCAGCGCCATTGACATCGTGGAGTCCGTGAACAAGTTGCCCAGTATGTTCTGGATGCCAGCGTAGATGAGTGATCCCTCGGCGACGGCGCCAGCTGCAGCTGGGAAACACTCTAGAAACACAATCTTGTAAGGGTTCAGCAACTGGCAGCACCGAATAACAAAGCAATACGGCGGTGGCCGATCACCAGACCCCGCGGCTGCCCCCAATGCGTCGAGGTTGGGCGACCCAGTCACCAGGTAGAGCGGGAGGCTTGGCACGCCGCAGTCGCTCTCCGACGCGCTCAACCCGTCGGTGTCGTGCACGAGGCGTTTGAGGTCGGTTCTCAAACGGTCGATGAGCTCCAGTTCCACCTCGCTGAAATCATCCTTGCAGATCCCCAAGCCGAACCGAGCGCAACATGGTTCCACCGTGGGCGGGTCCTCCTCATCAGCATAGTCGTACGCACCCGTATTGGAGATCAACCCAGTCACGCGTGCACGAAACTCATTCCAATAAAAGGTGATTCTGCACCTAATGTCATTGAGGAGATCTGCTCTGGTCGGATACCCTCCGCCGCCGATGCCCCAGGGAGTCTGTTCAGGGTCAAGTGGCCGAGCGGGTTGAGGCTTGGTTCGTGGTCGCACCATTACCGTTGCCAATCGAGCGTGTTCTTCAGGAGGCAGTGCGAGGAAGCCCGGGCGCAACCCTCTGATGCCAGAACGTGCCTCTGAAACATAACCATGCCGCGCGCTCCGAACCTGGCGCATCGCAGGAGGTGCTTCGACAGTCGCAGGTCCAGCCCTGCCACGAGGCAGGCCCATCACGCGCGCAACGCTGTTGTGCGGGGCACAAGGTTGTCCAGGGAACGTCGTTGGTCGACTGGGGCCGTCGCAGGCCTCTGAAGCTCGAATCACCGCCCTGGCAGGCGCAGAAATCAAGATTTTCTTCCCCCGCCCCCTACACCCAAGAATTGGCGTTGTGCGCTTGATCGGCCACCTCCCACCTCCCTGCAGCAGCAGCCATCATGCACCAACTCTCCGACAGGACGTGCTCGGCCATCAGCGTTGCCTCGTCGGGGGAGTTGTCAGCAGAGCAGCGTGCGTGGTTCTTCATGCGCCCGAACCTGCATTCGGATCTGATGTTCTGCCCGGGCACCATGTAAAACAAATCTCGCAGAAATTGGTCTTCCGCGCCAAGCTCTGCCTCAGTTCGCACCGAAGTGCGGAGCTTCGTAACCACGTTATCGCCACAGCAAGGGTTCGCTCGCAAAAAATGCCGCCTGGTCAAATTCTTCTCAGCATCTGAGGCCGACCGATTTGAAAGGATCGCTAAAGGCCACGGCCACTGCAGATAAGGAGAGACAGTCCTCATCCACAAACCCCCCACCATCTGATACGCACCCCACGCAGCGGAATGGTAAGACTGCTGCGTCCACCTCCATCCAGGGCCAGAAATGGGAAGCCAACATGGATCGCGATCATCTCGGAGCCGAGCAGCGTAACTCTGGATAGCGCGAGCAGCTGGTGACGTTCTCAGATGACACAGCGGGCCCACACCTGAATGCTCTGACTTGTCACTGGCGTCTTCGAAGAACTCCCCCAACACCTTCAATCCAGAGGGGGGGAGGGGGGGGCACCGAGCCTCGCAAGAGTTTTGATGATGCTCCCCACGCACACGCACCGCCGCCACCTCCCCAGCTGCGGGGTGGAGGGGAGGGTCGTCCTCCTCCGCTTCTTCTTCTTCCTCCTCCTCCTCCTCCTCCTCCCCCTCCTCCTCCTCCTCCTCCTCCCCCTCCTCCTCCTCCTCCTCCTCCTCCTCCTCCTCTGCCAGCGCCTGTGCTGTCCTGAATTTCTGTCGCGGGCCCCAGGTGTTCCCCGGACGTTGAGGGGGCGTCTGGAACCCCTCAGAAGCTCCACGAGCCACCCCCCCCCCCCCCCCGAGGACCCCTCAGTTGGACATGCAACAATGGGCCTTCAGCGCAGGCACCATGTTGACGGTTGCGGCAGAAAGCCTCCACGAGATCGATGGATCGTTGAAGAATCTCTCAGCCTTCTTGAATCGAGCATGTTGGGCTTTCTGGTAGGCGTCGTCACGTCCAATGCCATAGATCTCTGCACCTTGAAACTCACCCTCGTCAGGCCCCCGAGGTCGGGCACTCGTGCAAAACACTTTGACCACGGCCGTGTTGAAGGCGAACGCGAAATTCCACCAGGCCAGAGGGTGGAAAAGCTTGTTCCATTTATTTAAGGCTGGCACCCGTGGGCTGTACTGCGCAAAGGCCCTCCAGACTAAATCCTCAGCTTTCTTGGGCGCACTGCTCGGGCCGCCGCACTCGCACCCTGCCGCGCAGACATGGCCGCTCCGCGCGGCCGCCCAAGACGAGCTGAAGAAGTCTAAGAACTCCTCCCTGGCGCGTCGCCTCTTGGCAGAGTTGTAGTTCTGAGGCTGACCGAACCGATCCACGAGTAGGGCCTCGGACGGGTCGTCCGCGAAGTCAAGCAAGGCCATGACTTGCCTATTGTACTCGCGATGCTCGGCGGCAGGAACTCCGTACTCAAATCGCAATCCTGCCGTGTTCGTGCGGTTGGGTTCCATGAATTGTTTCATGTGCTTCCGAAGTCTTCGCCGATTTCGGGCTTTGTGCATTAAGCAGGTAGCGCAGAAAATGCCATTGATCAAATCGTATCCGCTAAGCATCCCCATGATTGAGGCCCAAAGCATATGCATGCAACAGAAACTATGCAGCGTCATATCATTGGGTCCATCCTTCTCCCGATATTTCCTGCCCAACTTCAGCATAGATTTAGCAGAATCGGCGTTGAAGATGGTCACGCGCCGACCGACGTCACCATCGGTGCGGCGGAGCAAGAACCCCAGACGATTCTCCACAGCTGCGATCAGGGTCGACGTCTTCGCGTTTGCAATTGTTGCTGGCGGGACCACGACTTCGTGCTCATGCAGCTCATGGTTCGCTGCACGTTGAAGCACATGCGCGTGGACGACCAGCGCGCTATGAACTTCGACCTGGCCGTCAACTTTGATGGGGTGCTCAGTTTCGTCCATGCTGACCTCTACAACGCGGCACTGCCACCGCCCGAAGTCGTCCAGCCGTGCCCGTTGAAGTCCAAGGTAACGTTCAGCGATCGCTGAGCGGACCTTCTTGATATGCGAGTGCGAAGCCCGCATGGCCATGCCGACGCTGCGCATGCTGTTCGCGAGCACCGATGCCCGCGGCCGACTCGCACGTGCTCTACGCTTCCGTCTGCGCACCTGCGCAGCGTGTCCGGCAAGGCCCCAAGCTCCGCGCAGAAGTGCGCACGTCAACCATTGGCAGGCAGCTCCCCTCCCCTGCCCTCGTAGGTCTGCAGCCTTGACCTCATTCATCCTGGCAGAATCGATGATGTCAGCGGGCCTCACAGCATGCATGGCGTTGACATTGTCAATACGCTCCTGCATGGCACCAGAAACACATTTTGCCTGCTGCTCTCGGCGGACCTTCTTGCTCAAACGCATGGCCCTTGCATGGCATTCTGCAGCCCACGTGTTCGCAACGAGCGGACCTCGTCGCTGGCGCAGTGCGGTGCCTACTGCGCCAAGGATGGCATCTGCTTCGTCCTCGTGGGCGGCCCCACGCGGATCCTCTGCGGCCGCCAAATAATCCACAAGATCATGGACAGCTGCTTCCATGGGTCAACAAAAAAACCGCAACCAAAATCAACCCAAGAGCCACGATGATTACGGAGGAGGGAGGGGAAAGGGAGGAGGCGGAGGACGGGCCGCAACGTGTTGGGTCATTCCACGTGTGTTTTCCGAGTCGAGGCGTAAACAGGGAAGGTATTTCTCATCCCCGTTGGTCTTCGTCCTTCTTCCCATCTTCTCCATCCTCCTCATTTCACCGTTTCTCGCAGCCTCCCGTGTTCGTAGTTCAAACCCTTCCACCCTGACCCCAGGAGTTTTTTTTCCAACTACTGATGATATTGTAAATGCGTTGGCATTGCTGTATTGCTATATGTTGTAGGTTTAGGCCATTTGAATTGCAAGAACAATTGCGTGCGCTTGCGTTGCACATTGGTAGAAATGCACGATGTAATGCGTGCATTATTGGGGTTTGCCGTAAATGCCATGTGTAATGCGCGATATAATGCGTGCACTATTGGGGCTTGCGGTTAAATGCCACACGTAATGCGCAATGTAATGCGTGCACTATTGGGTGTGATTTGAAATGCACGCGCATATGCTGAACTTAATGCACGAGGCTATGCGTGGACATCCGCCTAACCCTAAGAGGGGCAGGTTTGATGTGTTCCTGAACCAGCTAAGGCATAACGCGCGTTATGGCCAAGAGGGTAGTTAAAAAAACACTCTCCACGGGCTGCCGGACGCGGTGCGGCAGTGGGGACGCACTGAGGGGGGGAGCGTGACGTTATGCGGGGGAAAGGGGGGGTAGAGGGCATACAGTAGAGGCCTGTCCACGAGAAACATTCCACAAGAAATACAACCCTGAGACCCCAGGACGTCAATAGATGCTTGGTGTGGGGACGTCAAGCTTTGCACAAGTATCAAAACCATTGAAACCCAAGAAACCCAGGGCACCCTCGCAAGCAGGGCGTTTCTTGACATGGGTCTCCACTGTAGGGGACATCATGCGCGTCATGGCCCAGAGGGTTAAACTAAAACGCTCTCCACGGGCAGGAGGGGTTGTGGAGGAAGAGGAGGAGGAGGGAGGAGGCGAAGGAGGAGGAGGAAGAAGAGGAAGAGGAGGACGACGAGGACGACGCGCAGGAGGAGGTCACCCCAGCGCCCCACGCAAGGCCGGAGGCTGGGCGGCGAGTACGGGGGCACGCCCGGCCGTGGGCTGGGCGGGCCACCCTCGCGGGCGAGGGGGCTGCCGGGTCCTGACGTTGCGCATCTCCACCTCGCGGAGCGGAAGGGGGCACACGCCGTCGTCGTCGCCGTCGCCGTCGTCGTCGTCGTCGCCGTCGTCGTCGTCGTCGTCGCCGTCGCCGTCGTCGTCGTCGTCGTCGTCATCGTCGTCGTCGTCGTCGGCGGGGGGGAGGGGGAAGGGGAGGAACTGGTGAAGGAGGCAGGAGGTGGGATGATTTCATGGTGCATCTTGGGGGGGACCCTGTCTGTCCCGTCGCGCCGCGATCCGCGTCGAATCCGTGTGGAGTCCGTGTCGAGCGCGCTGAGTCCGCATCGAGTCCGTGTCGAATCCACGTCGAATCCGCGCTGAACCCACGACGAAGTAGAAGAACTTATCCTGGCGAAGGTCCCAACCATGAAGCTCCCTATGGGGCAACGAAGCGCTGCACTGGGTGGGGGGAACGCTGTACTGAGTGGGTGGTGTGCCAAAGTGGGCTTCCGGGACGCATGCGGACGGTCCCACTGGGCGCTTCGGTGGAGTTTCCTATGGGGCCACGAAGCGCTGTAATGGGTGCGTGAAAATGCCACATTGGGTTTCGGGGACGCATGCGGACGGTGGCACTGGGGCCTTCGGTGGAGCTCCCTATGAGGCCACGAAACGCTCTACTGGGTGGGAGGAAATGCCAAATTAAGTTTCCGGGACGCACGCGGACGGTCCCACTGGGCGCTTCGGTGGAGCTCCCTATGGAGCCACGAAGCGCTGTACTGGGCGGGAGAAAATGCCACATTAGGCTTCCGGGACGCATGCGGACGGTGGCAATGAAGCCTTCGGCGGAGCTCCCTATAAGGCCACGAAGCGATGTACTGGGTGAGTGAAAATGCCACATTGGGTGTTTCGGAACGCTTGCGGACAGTCCAACTGAGGCCGTCAGTGGGGCTCCCTATGGCGCCACGAAGCGCTGTACTGGGTGGTTAAAAATGCCAGTGTGTTTTCGGGACGCATGCGGACGGCGGCACTGGGGCCTTCGGTGGAGTTCCCTATGGGGCCATGAGACGCTGTACTGGGTGGGCGAAAATGACAAATGAGGTGTTTCGGGACGCATGCGGACGGTCCCACTGGTGGTTTCGGTGGAGCTTCCTTTGGGGCCACGAAGCGCTGTAAAGGCCACGAAGCGATGTACTGGGTGAGTGAAAATGCCACATTGGGTGTTTCGGAACGCTTGCGGACAGTCCAACTGAGGCCGTCAGTGGGGCTCCCTATGGCGCCACGAAGCGCTGTACTGGGTGGTTAAAAATGCCAGTGTGTTTTCGGGACGCATGCGGACGGCGGCACTGGGGCCTTCGGTGGAGTTCCCTATGGGGCCATGAGACGCTGTACTGGGTGGGCGAAAATGACAAATGAGGTGTTTCGGGACGCATGCGGACGGTCCCACTGGTGGTTTCGGTGGAGCTTCCTTTGGGGCCACGAAGCGCTGTAATGGGTACGCGGGACGCATGCGGGCGGCAGCACTGAGACCTGCGGTGGGGCTCCCTATGAGGCCCCGAAACACTGTACTGGGTGGGTGAAACGCAGGGAGGAGGGGGAGGAGAACCACGAAACGCTGTACTGGGTGTGCGGGACGCATACGGGCGGCAGCACTGGGACCTTCGGTGGGGCTCCCTATGAGGCCACGAAACATTGCACTGGGTGGGTGCAACGCAGGGAGCAGGGTGAGGAGGGCCACGAAACGCTGTACTGGGTGGGGGGGCGCATACGGGCGGCAGCACTGGGACCTTCGGTGGAGCTCCCTCTGGGGCCAGGAAGCGCTGTACTGGGTGTACGGGACGCATGCGGACGGTAGCGCTGGGACCTTCGGCGGGGCTCCCCATAAGGCCACGAAGCGATGTACTGGGTGTGCGGGACGCATGCGGCCGGCAGCACTGGGACCTTCGGTGGGGCTCCCTTTGGGGCCACGAAGCGCTGTACTGGGTGGGTGCAACGCAGGGAACAGGGGGAGGAGGGCCACGAAACGCACGCAGGGAACAGGGGGAGGAGGGCCACGAAACGCTGTACTGGGTGTGCGGGACGCATGCGGGACCTTCGGTGGGGCTCCTTATGGGGCCACGAAGCGCTGTACTGGGTGGGCGAAACGCAAGGAGGAGGGGGAGGAGGGAGGACGAGGAGGGAGGAGGGGAGGAGGAGGAGGAGGAGGACGCGGGTCGCTCTCTTCAAAACGAGGACCCAACAGCACAGGATGGTTGGGAAATATGGGAATTCACAGGACACGAGCGGTCCCCCGAAGATGCACAGCAAGGTGGCTGGTGTCGGGGAGGAGGCCCCCTCCTTCTCGCCCTGCCAGCATCTCCAGCTCCTTCTGGTCCACATGCTCTCCTCCCCCTCCCCCTCCTCCTCCTTCTCCTCCTCCTCCTCCTCCACCTCCCCTCCCTCCTACTCTGGTCCTCCTCCTCCCTCCTCCTCCATCTCCCTCCTCCTCCTCCTCCTGCTCTTCCTCCTCTTCCCCCCTCTTCCTCCTCCTCCTCCTCCACCTCCTCCTCCTCCTCCTCTCTCTTCTCCTCCTCCTCCTCCTCCTCCTCCTCCTCCTCCTCAACATCCTCCTCCTCCTCCTCCTCCTCCTCCTCCTCCTCCTCCTCCTTCTCCTTCTCCTCCTCCTGCTCCTCCTCCTTCTTCTCCTCCCCTGCCCATTCTGACCCATGCTATTTCTCCTCCTGGCCCCCTCCCCCCTCCTGGCTCCTGCGCTACGGGGCACCCCCCGAGCCGCCGAGGCCTGGTGGATGACATTCGTGACCGTGCTGTCCGGCGCGCTGTCCAGCCCGCCAGAGTACTGCGGGTGGCCTCGGAGGGCCCACCACCCGAGCCCTTACAGTCAAGACGCTGAAATAAGGAACAGTTTTGGGTTCGGAAGGGGCTCGATGTTCCCTAGGTCCCTCTTGTGCTGTTCCTCTTACCCTCCTGGGGCACGGAGGCGCTTCCAGGGCCAAGAAGGGGCTTCGTTCCTTATTTAGCGTTCCTTCTTTCAGCAGCCCGACTGTACGGCATGTTCGCGTCGAGCCGGCCCCGGCGTTGGCTCCTGACACCGCGGGGATCGTTCAAACTCGAACGATCGGCCCTTTCAAAAAGGCCAGATCGTTCAAGGATGGGCCGATCCTGGGCCACAGGCGGCGTTCAACCTTAAACGCCCACGTTGGGGTCAGACGGGAACCTGCCGTACGTGGAAAACCCTGGAGGCCTCGCGCGGCAACTTGAGACCCCATGTACGTCCGGTCCACGTCGGAGTTACGTTGTGGTGTTCACGTCGGGTCACGTCGGATGCACGTCGGAATCACGTCGGGCTTGCGTCGGAGCATCGCCGCGCGAGCGTCGACCCGTACCTCTTACGGAGCGGACAAGTGGACTCAATGATACAACCATTGCGCGACGCGCGAGGCCTCCGGGATCTCCTCGTAGAAGGCCTGGAGCAGCAAAGCAGGTCGCAGGACCAGCCAATACAATTAGGACGAAGCGAAGACTTGGACAAACTCGGACCGGAGCAAATCGGCGATCTCTGAGATGCGGCGTTCTCTGAGCCGTTCTGGAACGCTCTGAAACGATGTATCCCGGTCCTGAACCCGTCCAGCAGCATAGGATCGGGGAATCGGAATGGATCGGAGTTTGCGCCAGATTCGCGCGCAAGATTGCCGATACATCGGCGACTTTGGCGATGCATCGGTGACGTCGGCGTGAAGAAACTCGGGCTCCACACTACATCGCCAATACGCGATGCGGCGCCTCTCTGACCTCATGTACTTCGACACTGTTCGGGCGGCGTGGAGGAGGAGGAGGAGGAGGAGGAGGAGAAGGAGGAGGAGGAGGAGGAGAAGGAGGCGGAGAAGGAGGCGGAGGCGGAGGCGGAGGCGGAGGCGGAGGAGGAGGAGGAGGAGGAGGAGGCGGAGGCGAAGGAGGAGAAGGAGGAGGAGGCGAACGAGGAGGAGGAGGAGGATATCCTCTGGAAGCCTCCGCGGGGAACCAAGCATCACGGTCGTCTGAGCGGGTGGCTGAGGCCAAAGGTGTCCAGGCCTTCGATCTCGATGGTCGGTATCTCCGAGCACGCGCTGAGCATTGCCTGGCAGGTCGGGCCGCGCGGGCCACGGGTGCGCTGCCAGCAGGAGCTACGGAGGACAGGGGGGGGTGAGGGGAGGGATACACCGAGGGAGAAGGGGGGGGTTGGAAGGAGAGGGGGGGGGGGGGGGAAAGAGGGGAGGGGAGGCCACTGACCTTCCAGGACGGCCACCAAGAAGCAGGACCCCCGAGTGGCCCGAGGCCACTGACCTTCCAGGACGACCACCAAAAAGCAGGACCCCCGAGCGTGAGTTCTAGCATCGAGCGTGAGTTCTAGCATCGAGAACTCGTGTGCAGTCCTGGTAGGTCTATGGGCATGGATGGGGCACTGTTCAGCACTCTGGGAGGTCAGGGGAGGCTCACGGGAGGAGGTCAGGGGAGGCTCACGGGAGAAGGGGAAGGGAGGCTCAAGGGAAGAGGGGGAGGGGAGGTCCAGGTCGGACAGGTGGTGGCAAGGGAAACGGACGGGGGTCTGCAAACAGTCGCCTCCCGGCGCCCGCAATCCAGGAGGCGCCTGGCGGCGGAGACGACACCGGCTGCACGCAGCAGATTCCGCACCACTCCTCCCTTCCCAACCGCCTCCTGACGCCCGACCTGAGAGATCCAACCAGAGGAGGAGGAGGAGGAGGAGGAGGAGGAGGAGGAGGAGGAGGAGGAGGAAGAGGAGGAGGAGGGGGGGGGGGCGAATGATCGAAGGGAGGAAGAGGAAGAGGACGGGACGCTGAATAAGGAACAATGGGGCTCTTCTGGTCACTGTGGGCCTCGGCCACGCAGAGGTTCCCTGGCCTGGACCTAAAGCAACATCCCAATGAGAACCAGAGCCAAGCCTGAGCCCCCGATGGTCCTCATCTCAGCGTCTTGCCTGTCGGGGGGAGGTGCTCTCGGCTGCCTGCGCGGTGGTGCAAGTGGCTCTTGCTCCTCCTCTAGCTCATCCGCGCCCATGTCCCTGCGCAACGATCATAGTAGCTCGGCCTCAGAACGAGATGGGCGTCTGCCACTGTCCCCACCCCTGCAACGAAGGTCTGCCAATGAAGAACATCCAGACTGGGGAGACGGCGCAAGTGGCGGGACGAAGGGGGAGGAGGCAAGGCAGTAGGCTCACCTCCTGAAGTAAACCTCACCTTCTGGCCATCCCCCACATCCCCCAGTGGCCATTTCCCCCACAGCAGGGGCACGCAGCAGCAGGCCTGCACTCCACACGGGACTGTCGGAGCAGATGTGTCAAGCGCGAGGGGGCAAGGCTGCTTTCGCTGCTCGAGCCGAAACTCTCTTCCACCCTCGCCGCCGCTCACGTTGACGAACACGCAGGCACCAACACACACACACAGACACAAATACCCAGTCACAAGGACACACACAGACACAGACACAGGCACAGACACAGACACAGACACAGACACAGACACACGCACAAACACACACACACACACAGAAACACACACACACACGCACACACATGCACACACATGCACACACAAACACACGCACGCACGCACGCACGCACGCACGCACGCACGCACGCACGCACGCACGCACGCACGCACGCACGCACGCACGCACTACACACACATTCACACACACGCACACACAACACACACACACAACACACACAACACACACACACACACACTTGTTTGGGGGGGTCAGGGCCGCCCGCGCAGGCTCAGTATAGTCCGGCAATCGGAAAGCCAGAGTAAGTGGGGCTGTTTCACGCACCACAGGCAGGGAGCACAGGGTTCACCCCTAGGGAACCACTCTGTGCGGGCACGTGCGCACGCACGCACGCACGCACGCGCGCGCGCAAGCACCCACACACACGCACACACGCACACACACACACACACACACACACACACACACTCGCACACGCACACACGCGCACACACACACACACACTCACGCGCGCACACACATGCACATTACACGCTTGCACACACACAGGCACACACACACACACACACACGCGCGCACACGCGCGTGCTAGCACATGCATGGGTGCTCTCACGCACGCGTGCGCACGCGCGTGCATACGTGCCCATGTGTACCCCTATGACAGAATACTGATCTAGTGCCTTGGCGGGGGGCAAAACAATCCCTGGCGGGTGCCACACAGATCATGTCCGTGTTGTATTTCTGGGTTGGACTTTCCACGATCCAGGCACGGTGGCGGGATGGACCGCACGCCACTCGCGTTCTCGCCTGTTCGGGCTTCCGACGCTCCAAGACGGGCCCATAAGGGCCCCAAGATCGCGCCCAACGAGGCCCGCAAGACGGCCCCAAAGGGACTCAGGACAGCCCAAGAGGTCCCCAAGACGGCCCCAGAGACCTCCAAGACGACTTTTACAGCGCGTCCCCAGCCGGCCTCCGAAGGCCAAGAGGTCCCGCAGAGGCCCACAGAAGCCCCCAAGAGGTACCCAAAAGACCCCACGAGAACCCCAAGAAGCCCCAGGAGCCCCCCCCCCCTTCGAGCCCCCCAACATGCTCCCAGGAAGCCCTGAGGATCCTCAAGAGGGCCTCAAGGGGCCTCCTCTTCGTCCTCCTCCTACTCCTCCTCCCTCTCCTCCTCCTTTCTCGTCTTCTCCCCGGTGTTCCCCCAAGGGGTTCCACAACGGCTGGGGGAGCACATAGTCGAACAGCTTGATTAGACTTCGACCCAGCGTTTAGCCGCATTGATGTTTCCATGAGGCAGGGGGCAGCGGTGATTCGCCGTAGGCGTCTTAGATATCAGCCGGCCCCTATGCTTGCCACAGAAACGAATGCTAGACGCTAGACGTTGAAAATTATCAGGGAAAACGGCCCAACCACACGCAAGTGTGAGAATCGCGTTCTGGGTATCGTTTTCGGAGGGGCTCCCTATGGGGCCACGAACCTCGTGAAGGGTGCGCCGAAATGGGCGAGGGGACGCATGCGTACCATGCCTCTGGGGCCTTCGGTAAGGGTGCGCCGAAATGGGCAGGGGGACGCAGAAGAAATCTGTCACCGCGCATTCGATGAAGCTCCCTCTGGGGCCACGATCCTTGTTAAGGGTGCGCCGAGATGGGGGGGACGCATGCGGACCCTGCCACTGGGGCATTCGGTGGAGCTCCCTATGGGGCTACGATCCTCGTGAAGGGTGACGAAATGGGCGGGGGGACGCATATGCGAACCCTGCCACTGGGGCCTTCGGTGGAGCTCATATGGGACCACGATCCTCGTGAAAGGTGCCGAACTGGGCGGGGGGGCGCATGCGGACCCTGTCGCTGGGACCTTCGGTGGAGCTTCCCATGGGACCACGAAACGTGTAGGGGGGGTGCCGAACTGGGCATGCGGAGAGCAAAAGCACGGGGAGGGGAGGAGGAGGAGTGCGTGAGGAGTGAGTGGACGCGGGGCGCTGTCTCTTCAAAACGAGGATCCAACACCACAGGATGGTTGGGAACAGTGCTGGACACGTTCGCAACATTCTCAATGGTCTTCGGTCGGACCCGCTGGCCACCCAGAGAAGGTGGACCTCGTGGGCTTTTCCGCCCAAGATGGCCGAAGAGGGTCTCCACGAGGGCCCAGGTCGCCATCAAGTCGGCCCAAAATTGCCAACTTGGTCTTCCCCTGGCACAAGATGCCTCCAAGAGGGAATCATATGGACCCACTACGACACAACGTTGCCTCAAGATCGCCCAAGAAGCACCCAAAACGCTCAAACCGGCCCCACGAAATCCCCCAAGAGAGCCTGGTTTCCTTGATAAGAACTTCGACGAGTTCCGGATTCTCTCCATCGTGGTCTTCACCAGTCCCCGAGACGACCGAAGAGGTTCCCCAGACAGCCCCAATGCTGCCCTTCAGGGCCCCAGGAGAAACCTAAGACGGCCCAGAGATGCAACCAAGACGGCCTCCGATGGCACCAAAAGGCTGAAGAGCGCCCTAAGACAGCGAAATGAGCAGTGCCCAAGATGTCCAAAATGCTGGACAAAAGCCCGAAACCCGCCCCAGGACGGCATCATCCACAGGGCTTCACCTGTTGTTCTCCCAGTGGCCTTCCCAGAGGTAGTTCTTCTTCAGACTCTGGTGAGATTGCTTGCATGGGGGGGTGACCGGGGGAGCGGGGTGGAGAGCCTGGCGAGGCCTGGGAGGAAATGCGGACTTCACGCAAGTCGGGACTCACGTGCACGCCGTCTCGGCCCAGCGCTACTCAAAAAGACGGCCAGGAGGGGGGAGGGGGGGGGAATGCAGTGCAAGTAAACTCGACTGAGTCTAAAAATAGAACGCCCTCATGTCGTGGGCGGACGGAAGCACACATCCGAATCCCTGGCTTCGCAAGCAGGACCCCCGGTTCGCGGATTCGCCGCGTGGAGCGTATCTATGCGACCGCGTGTCCGCGGGATCGCGCCCCAGAATCCAGACCACGAGGGCGCAGATACGGATACGTTCGCCGTTCGTCATCATGCCTCTCTGGATAAACAGCATGCGACGAAGCATGGTACTGCTTCGCGAAAATTCACGGGTCAGACCGAACGTTTCGAACACTGCTGGCAGACTCCCTGTTCGTACTTGCAGAGACCGCTCTCGAGAAAGCAGGGCCGTACGAGCCGCGTACGCCAATAGCAGAAGCGATTTTGAAAGTCAGGGCACATAAATACTCATACGCAACCCATTGGTAGTCGGCAGATGGACGCACGCACACAACGATAACTTTCGTCTTATCCAACTCAGACGACCTTCTTGTCGAGTTGAGCATATTTGGACTCTTGCAAGAGCTATCTGGCTCCCACGAATACATGAGCCACCCTGCTGCATGCATTATTGCCCAGCTTTAATTGCTGTTACCATGATTTGAAGCGCGCATCCTGCGGGCAGTTTCACCCATCATTGGCATGAGTTGCCAGGAGAACTGAGCACATGCCTCGTGGTAATGTAATGTATTCTAATGAGTTGCCAGACAACGGAGTGCGGATACGAATCCCCAGCCAATTACCTCTAGCGTAGACAGCTACTGGCCTGATTTTGGTGACGATGCAGAATGATGGCAAC